GGAAGGACCAGATGACCTCCGAGTTCACTTCTGGCCCCATCCTGATTCCGTGAAAACAAAACCGTTCCCATCGGCAGTGGCAGAGGCAGGAGCCAGCTCAGGACAAAGAGCTGAGCCTTCAGGAGCAGCTGCTGTGAGGAGTTTAGGGGAGCCAGCACTTTTTCGTATAATGGCATGAAATTACAGATGGCATCTTCCACCCTGCCATTATAGCGAGGAAGGATCCGTACGCAAGGGCTTCCTGTTTCGCTGTCCTCTGTCAGGATGCATTGTAGAGGATTAAAAACCCCTCTCTGAACTTTCTATCAAAGCGCTCCTGCAGCTGAATTAGATTAGCATCATTTTTTTTAAATGAAAGCAGGTGAGTAACAGTGAGGGGAAGGAGACACGATCTGTACATGTTTCTGATGCTGGAGCAGGGACATGACTTTTTTCTTTTTTTAAACTGATACAATCTGTCTTGTTGCACAATAGTCAAACTATTATGAGGATACAGTGCCTTTCTCCCAAGTGGCCTTTTCTTTCACTGTAGGACCTTTATATGGTCAGAAGCTGCACAATTTCATACATAGATAAGGCAGAAAATGCACAGGCTGTAAGAACAGGATTAACCTTCCATCTCCCTCCACCTACACACACACACATCGTTTAGATAAATTGCACAATTCAGTTGAGTAGGAATGCTTTTTGGGAAAAAATCCACTTTTAAAATAGAAGAATCGTAAAATAAAGTTTTAAAATATGTGTTTTAAAATATGTAAATTTTAATAGAAACTAAGTTTTGTCACATGGTTCTGTAAAGAAATGTATACCTACCATTGTGTTCACCCACAGCAAAGTTAATTTGCTTTTCCAAAGAAAAGGTTTTGAATAATTTGTACAACCTTGCTGAAAAAAATGCTTTACAAATCAGCACTTATTTTCATTTTGCTCTTTCCCAGGATGGAATGAGTAGGAGATGGACTGTGTTTTCCTTGCTGTGCAACTCCACCTCTCATTTCCACACTACGAAATGGGAAGAACATCTTCACAGGAAGATATTCCTGTTGTTGAAAAAATTGATAAGGAGCATGCTCTAAGCAATACATTCACTTTTGCTCCCTATCCTGCAAAATCCAAGCCATTTTTGCTGGTGCTGGTATGTGGCACTTCATTACGCAGTGGATGCTCTCAGTGGAGAATGTTTTCTTCCTAGCTATTACTGCACTTTTGCTGGCTTTTGATTTCTGGTGATCAAAAGAACACTGCAGTCCTACCGAGAGAGAGAGATACTATCTCTGCTGTAGCCAAAACATGATACATCAGTGGCTTTGAAGGTTAGAACCAAAGCTTTATCCTGGAAGTGAAGGGAGAGACCAAAGAAGGGATCAAAGTTTAGGACTAATGCATGTACGACAGCATTGGATGGGCTACAGCATGTGTGGCAGGGAACCACTGTAAATGTAACACCCACAGGTGCCTACAGAGTGAATTAGCAGTTCTGAGAAGAGAATGTGAGGCGAGGCAAAGCACTTCTGGGTTATTGAGATTTTGTTTTCTGGTTTACATTTGTACAATGTTTCTGGATTCATTTACTGAAAAGATACCAATGGTTTATAATATATACATAAAAAAAATATGGAAGACCTACCTGGGCTATCTACCTGAAAGCTTCCAACTGTCAAATAAGACCCCTTAATTTTCCTTTCAGATAGCTGAAGGTAACTTCAGTTAATGCACCTGCTCCCTCCCCTCTATGTTTTTTAACTAATTTCAGATTTATTTTGGCACACAGCAGCTGCAATAACTTATAATTCACAATAAGAGATGAATGATTTGCTGTGTATACCCCTAAAAGTCTTCAGATATGTGTGTTATAGGACTATATGCCAGCAAGGGTCAGAATTAAAGCTTCCCTTAATGTAACAAAGAAGACTCCTTTAACCATGTCACCTTCAATATTCATATTCTCTGGCTCCTGGCATGTCTGTTTCAATATCTGACATTCATGGTGTTGACTGACTCCCAGCAACCTGCAGCTGAGAGGACTTAATGCTTTTCATCTTTATAAGCAGACATGAACAAATTAATCCTCCCCCAAATCCTGTGATGGTGGAGGTACAATCACTTTATGGAGCCACATATATGACTTGCTCAAGGTCGCAGCCGTAGTCGGTCTTATAGCAGGATTAGGATTCAGGTCTCAGCTCAGGTCCCTGCTCAGACAGCTATGGCAGGCATTTCTGTGCAGCTTACAGACAACAGTTCTTTTGTCTTAAAATGTACTCAATTACAGTTAGAGGATTATAAAAAATTATAGGGGTCATCGGGATTTATTTCTGCAGCAGCCAGCACACGTACAAACTGTGTGAGTTTACACTTTTATGCTACTGTGTAAAGGAATTTAAACCTCATCTTTACCCAAGGAAAAAACCCCAAACCAAATAATATCTATTACTCATGAATAGCAATTAAAACATCACTGGCAGTATTTCCTAGCTGCTTTGCAGACCTCCCATTTATTTATACAGGGTTCAAAAGAGCTTTACAAATTTAGGACAGCAGATCATGTTTAGGAAAAAGATTTTACAAAGCTCCTCATGTTCCGATCTTCTTTCTAGCTACCTGAGTAATATAGTAAGCATCATTGGAAAGACTAAGAAGGTCAGAACAGCATTATAAGAGGTAGGAGAGAAAACAGGACTCTTGCATATGCAAATTCTAATGGCAGCAACCTGGGTTTCAAATTAATTCAGCAACAAAATTCCTATTGATTTTTAGCAGCAGAGGAATGCATTCACTATGTCTTTTGCCACATGGATTTTCTCTTGAGTTCAGTAAGGCTACTCAGATTAATTCCAGCTTGCAGGACTATTTATGTCTTAAACAAAGAGATGCCATGCTAAAATAATTTGCATTTTATAGCTTTCATGGTGCATATATTGAACTGACCTTGATACCAAGTCAGCAAAACAAGTATTTTGTGACCTGTTTTGACTAACTTCACTCTAACATGTCTCCTATCTGAAAATGAATGTTAATTTTAAAAGCTTGCATTTGTGATTTTACAAAACACAACTTAAGCAAAGAATATGTACTTATATTGCTTTTACGTTCCATCCAGTTTTGGAAACAATAGCACTTTACTTTTCAACTCCAGGTGGCACTGTGGTGCTTAACACTGCCCGGTTGGGGGAGAGCAGATGGATTGCAAAAGCATGCAAGCCCCTGAAAAACAATGGCTTTCTTGTTTTATGAGAAATCAGCTGCTAATAGTTTTCCAGTGCAGATGTCCTATTTTACTTTCAGTTTGGTGAAGACTGGGCTAAGAAATGGCAGTTTATATGCCTGAGATACGACTTGTCATGGAAGAAGGGACTTGCTTGCCTGTACATGCACGAGGTCATGCAGGTAGTAGCCCTTGCCTCCACCAGCAAAACATAAAGCAACACACACTGCTGAATGAAGGGAGAAAGTCTGCTGTTGCACAGCTCTCCCTACTCACAGTGATTAATTCTCTCTGGTAATAATTGGTAATTCTGCTCATAAAAGTATATTTTCAAGGATGGAGTGCAAACCACTGAAGTAATGAGGTTATTGGTAACTTTTCTAGGGAAACCCATAGACACTATTGTTTGGAAGCCATCCTTTGCCATTTCATGTTATCACTTAGACTACTACAAAAATGTTTACAACAAATATTCTTCCTTCATCCTTCAAAAATTTAGGAGTAGGATGTTCATGTATTTGCTTTAGCATACACTCATACTCATCTACACTGCATCTTTTCTTACATATTAGTTTTTCTTGAAATTCTATCTCCTTAGTTTTTAGTCTTCTCAACTTTTAATTTTGTAGAAGCCTGCCTGAGACGTATTTCTTTTAGCTCTTCCTAGCTTACACTCCAATTCTCCAATTTTGTATAGAGTAATTCCTAAATACTTGTTACCTGACCTATGGGCCCAGTTAAAGTTCCCAGCTCCCATTGTGCAATCACTAAACCGTTGCTCAGTGCAAGTCTGAACAATATCACTGGTTCTTCTGTGCATTTCATCCAGCAGAATTCTGGAATTTGCTCCATAGGCCCACAAATTTCCCACAGGCCACAAAACCCCATTTGACTGCAAGCAAAACTCAGAGAGTTTACATGGGCTCATGTGCAGGCTGTTATATTTTTAACCCAAGTAAGTCCTTTCCCATAAGTTAAGGAAGCAACTGAAGATATACAAAAAGGGCAGGCTACTTGTAGTACAACTTTCAGCACAGATGACTATTTCATTACAAAGAATTTATGAAAGAAGAGCAGCTCAAAAGACAAAAAGGAATAAAAGCGAGAGAGATGACTGTTTTAAACAGGCAGGACCTTAAAATACGCTAGGTTCTCTCAAGCACCATATGGAATCCTTTTCCAAAGGCATCAAAAATGCACAGGTACCTGCCCATACACACAGAGGGCATCCTCAAGTTCCCCCTGGATTTATGAAATATTAGTGTATTTGTCATGTTAGTTCTGGTAAAAGGGTAGCCATAAAACCACACAAGGCAGAATGTCCTACATTACCAGGCAATAATGATGCCTCTGAAGACTGAAAACCTGTACACCGCCTGCATTCGTTCCACAGCTCTGTAGCTCTTAATGTTCTCCATCCTCAAAGTTGCATAAGCACAGTGGTGGCTCCCAATAGCATTACAGAGTGCATAACTGATGTCATTGGCATATGTGACACAACAGATAAGCATTTCTTCTTTTGGAATGTGTTCACATCCATTTTAGGTCTTTTGAATAAAACTCAGAAAATGTCCTGAAATAAATTTTTTTTTATTCAAAATAAACTTTAAGAAAACTGTTCCCAAACAAAATTTATATACATTCTATTTACAATTTTGCTGCTGACTAGGTAATATTTACATTACATGTAATGCAAAATCTTCTCCTTGCATTATTCATGCTTAAATGTGCTGCACTCAGCCTTTAGACTAAAACGAGTGCCAGAGAGACAAGGGAGAAATTTCTGAAAAAAAAATCTTGTGTGTAACCATGACACAGAAGATTAATTTTTAAAAAAAAAAAAAAAATGTAACCTAAGAGGAACAAACCAAAGCACTGTTGTCACATCATTAGAGAAACAAAACTGATGGTAGAAAGAATGTACATTTCCTGAAGAGGGACATACACAGTGGTGACAAACTTTTATCAGCTGCAATGCTAAGGTCATGCTAAGATGAACAGAGAGCTGGGTAAAAGCCAGATGACAGCTACAATGATAAACAGGGTTTGGCTCAGCAGGCACCAGCATTTTCCTAGTACATGCTCTTCTGTCATGCTCTCTGCTGCAGTATGGCTTCATTGTCTCTTAAACTCGAGGCAGAAGGTGAAGGAGGAAAATGAAAGGAGGCCAGACCAGCATCCCTGAAGCTTTCCTAAAAGATCTACTGCTCTTTCCCCTTTGCACCCTCTCAAGCTGCAGCCTCTGTTGCAACACTGTGTGCTGGCGTTGTGGGAGGAAGATGAGCACTATTCAAAACACCTTTGGCAACATGCTGGTTTTAAAAAAAGCTTTTGGGGGTGGACTATCTCTCCAGATCTAATTCTGTAAAGTAAAGCATGTTCAAGGTACTGTGTTGCCAAAGGTGCTGCTCAGCCAGCAAGCAACTGCACACCTACACTCAATTGTCTGGCCGCTGATTCCCACCAGTAGCAAGGTGGATCCCTCATACACCTTCACAACTACGTCCTTGCTGGGGCAGTTGTAGCGTTAAACTGTCTCATGTACTTAAAAGAGGTCGCAATTTGGGGTTTTTTTTGCCTTCTCTACCTATACCATCACATGCTCAGGAAGATGTCAAATGTAACACAAATGGCACGAGCGGTGCCAGCCTCTGACCTGTTAAAACAGAATGAGCAACCATTTGGTTTTCTGACCGAAAAAACTTACTGTGGCATAGGCGGCTGCGTTAGACAAACATGTCTGATGTTTTCTGTAGTCATAATCTAAGCTTACTCTAAAACTGTTTGGAATTGAAGATGTTGCAAAACGTTATTCAATGCATTTTGCAAAACACAGATAGGAGCCTGCATCTGAGGAAGATGAAGAATGGAAGTAGTACCTGTAGATAGTACAGCCTTCCAGAACTGAAGCAGGAGAATTAAATATTGCATAGAACATCATGGAAACTGGTCTGCACAAAAGAAGTAGGTTCGTGTCCTCATTACTCTCCTGTGGAAATTAATTCTGCCAGTTCCTTTGTGGGCCCTCTCTTTGCCTGCTGGGGAAAAAGGTGCAGAACTTCTATAAACGTTGCTTCACTAATTTAGGCCTAACATTTTGCTGTTGTTGTTTTAACAAGCACTAGTCTATTGCTGAGCAGCCTCGTACTTCACTTTTTGCTTCCACTAAACCTGCTGCCAGATGAGCGCTGGGTGCGGGGGATGTGGCTTAATACCAAATGCAGAAGAAGTGGTATCCCAAAAAAACGTGTATGCTGGGGATCAGAGTCCTTTCACTCTCTTTTCAGCTTTCAGAACAAAGCAGCAGTGTTTATGAGATTGCATAAAATTTCAAGCCAGATAAAACTATAGTTCCTAGAGGTTACTCTAGAACTAGCTGGTTTACTGTTTTAGATTGTTACGTAAACATTCCAGAGAATGCAACTCAGTTTTCCCACTGTAGTTTTGCTCTGCAATACTTGCCTTTTCTCTAATAATTTGTTTGCACATCTTTACTTCTCTCATTGAAAATCTGTTTTTGCAGAAATACCAATTCCGGGTTTTACATTTTTCCACTGACTCTCTTCTTTCCTCTTAAGGGAACAATTTATCCTCCTCTTTCTGCCAAAATGCAGTGATTGGTAGCAGTGCTGAGTTTTTTTAGTGTACCTCTTTTGTTACAGCCATAGCTATGCAGCCAGATTTATAAAGCTACTATGATAGTGACACAAACATATTTTTAATGGGAAAATAAACAAGCTAACGCAGAGGTTTTATGGCTCACCACATTAAAAAGCCAAACTTCTGAAGTTTCTCATTTTAACTCATGCTAAAACTGTCTACACTCACCACTAATGCAAGTTTTTGTTATCTATCACCTTCTTTATCACTATGAAAATAGCATCTTCGGAGCTTGGTGGCAGAGATCATTCTTAGAAAATTATCATGTTGGTATTTCTTCAGATCTTGGCTGACATTTCAAACATCCCATCCCATTTTCTGGAACAAGCAGACCACACCATTTTCCAAAATTAATCCAAAGATGATGGCCAACCAAGGAAGCATTCGGTTCAAGTTCAATGTAACTGCAAAACAAACCAGAACAAATTTATCACCGTTTAAGAAGATCATAGAAACCATGTGAGAATTCATATTAATTTGTATGTATAAGAAATCACACAAATCTGTTAAAAAGTCCACATTCCAAAGCCATGCATAAAATTAACACGAAACTTTCATCTTCCAGACATGCAAAGAATTCTACTTTTTGTTTCAATGATCCACGATGAGTTGTCTCAAATTCTAAGTGACGGATACAAAGAGATGATGGGGAGATAAGAGGTGCTTTTTCTTTTTTTGATAAAGTGTTTTGTTACATTCACTTTCTGTTAAAGTCTAAAAAACACAGTTTTAAGCTAGAGCTATTTCAGTCACGTATCTAATACTGATTAAAAAAATACAACAGCAATAATAATGACTTCTATAACAGCTGCATTCTCACATATTCTATACAAATAATACAGTAGTAATAAAAGCAACAACATACCTCTAATTGCCTGAGAGTTTGATATCAAGACAAACACTTTTATAAATGCAAGGCACAAAGGCGTGTAGTCATGTTCCCAAATAACAGCTGGAATTAGCAAAAGCTTTCCATAGCTGGACAACAGCAGTGCTTTGAGAAGTAAAATGAAGTCAGACTTTGTTTTCAGCATCTCAGGTCTCATCCACCATAACGTAATAAAAATGCCAAGCAAAAATGAAGTTTGTTCTAAGAGGAAATAAGAGGAATTGGAAAGAAAGAATGTAGTGACAAAATCAAGACCTTTTTTCAATGAATTTCAATGAAATGATGTGTCCCAAATGCCCCGGAACCGCTGCTATTTAAGAGACATGCAAACATGAACATGTTCTCCATCTCCTGTGTTCATTCATGAAATTCAAAATAATTCTATCACAGAATTCTGTCTGTAGGATTTTCATACTCATAATTTCTGACACCGTATAGCACAGGAATTTTAGCACACAAACTTCCTTTACTTTTCCTTTTTAACAAAAGGAGAGGGGTTTTTTTCAACTGCCTGTTAGTCTGTATAACAGAATCAATACTTGTCTTTTTTGAAAAGGTCACCAGCAATGAACCCTTTCCATCCAGCATGAGAAAGAACACTAAGGTGAAGGTATCATTGATCTATTAGACTTTTTTTGACACTGAGTCCCTGCGTAACACTGGTATTAATGCAGATGTCAAAGCAACTCTCACAACAACTGTAATAGATGATTTACTACTGAAAAATTAGTTCCAACATTTTTACTGACCTGTTAGGAAAGCCTACATAGAGCAACACTAAACAATAAATGACTGAAGTTAAACACTGGATGTCTAAGGGAAATACTAGTCTTAGTCTGCAGGCTTCATTTAAACTCTATCAGCAGAAAAAAAAATGAGAATAAAAGTACTAACCAAATAAAACAAAATCCCTTCCCTGCCTTCAAATTTAGTCTTGCAGTACAGAAGTATCTACTCTTTACCAGTGATGACACTGCTCTTTATCTTTGTGTATTCATGTAAAAAACCCCCCCCATAAACCAGATACAGCTTTTCCTGATTATTGTTTACTTCTGGAAGGATCAACCTTAATATTGCATCACCTTAATAAATAATAAACCTTGGAGTCAACATGAAATATGGAATAAGGCTGAGCTCTACACTGGTCTTCAAAACTATGCAAATGGATTGAGATGAAGATTTCTGAATATTGCCACTTTTCAGTGTGTTGGTATCTAATGCTTATCATATCAGTCTGAACTGTAATCAGGATTGAAATATGCGCTTGCATTAAGTGACAGCAAATGAGAGAGTACACGTATAATCGTTTATACCATACTGGGTAGAACATGACTTCCATTCTATATTAATTGTTGCAATACAGGCTTGATGAAAGACTCATGAAATTATTTAATGCTTAAAGAGTAAATAGTTACATGAACTAATCATCGATCTTACCTAAAGAAGCTATACCAAACATTCTATAAAAATCCCATTCCTTGGCATATCTGATTAAGTCATCAGGATCCGTATTTTGGCTTGAATCCTGTAGTTGCAACCACCTGAGATAAGCCTCACAGAGCAAACAAAATACACAGAGCTTCCCATGAATCTGGTAAATGAAAGCATAATAAAAGCATTAGTTATTAAATCAGCATAAATTAAAGTATGAGTATTAAATTGGTATTTAAAAATACATTTTTACATCTCCACATGAACAAGCTCTGTAGGTTTATTACTTTTGTTTAGAAATATAAGTAAGTTACTTCTGTTGAGCCACTAGTTTATCACATCATCCTTTTAACATAAATTAACATGATAAGCTAATTAGAGAAGGTAGGATACTGCATGAACAGTCCCATTCAGAAGAAAGCATAGAGCTGTAGTTTGTAAAGCCTGCTCTATACTTTTTTTTTTTTAATTGGGAAGGGTGTTTCAGTTAGGAATATTAAAACAAAATTGTGCCACAGCTAGCAGAACTATATATTATCAAAAATTTTAGTTTCAGGACAACTACTCCCTTCAGTGAACTGCTTTAAATAGCCTTGTTTCTATTTTTCCCTGCGACAATATCCATTAGAAAAAAAAATGGTAGTGTAGTTATACCAAAACCATCTTTTAGTCAGATAAAGGTGAAGAACCAAAAAACAAATGGAGCAATGTAACTAAGCAAAATTTAAAAGTATCCTCTGAAGTCACTGCAAAAATGATGTTGTGAGGGTCCGTAGTTAGCATGTTTCCACATTAAACAGTCTGTAAGCCGGTGTGCATGTGGGGTGAATTCCGATTTTATACAGATTTAAATAAACCAATGCAATTTCTGTGTATGGATTCTACTTTTCCTACTGGAGACTAGTTATGCCAATTGCACACACATGCACAGGCTAAGCCAGTTTAAAAGTCAACTCAATTTATTGGACTAGATGAAATTTCCACAGATGGAACAGTTCTCCCAGAAGCCTCATGGAAAACATCATTACCAGTCTCCAGAAGCACTGAATTCATTAAAAACCCTTAGTCAGATTTATGCTTGAAAGACGAGGTGAGTGTATCTATCCACATTGCTTAACACTGGACTGGCCAAGAGATATCAACATGAATACAGCCTACACTTATACTTGCATAGTTTGCTCTAGATTAGCTTCCCTCTCCTGGGAAATCAAACTTTAAAGTAAAAATACGTGTTTCTGCCAGAAAAGCTACACCTCTACACTCCAGCTGGGCCAGAGCAACAAAGTTGACTACGTAACTCTGCATCCGCAACACTTCACGTGAAAGCCACTATCTTTTGCTATAGTTTTGAGGACGCAGTTAGTTACTCAGGAGGAAACTCGTGAGAAATGAGTACAGTAGGTTTAATTGGCAAGTACTGTTAATGTGGTATGTTATACTCTACAGCTCGTTTCAAAAAAACCTGTTTCCAACAGAAATTTAAGTTGGAAATGAACTTGAAATTAGACTTTTCTCTTCCAATGAGTCCAATTAGGACTCTCTACCATGCAGGATGACCGCTGTTATTTGCTGGTATTGTGGTACCACCACTGGGGAGACAGTAACTTCCTCAGTAACAGCTGGAGTTTGAGATTTCATGTGTTCTGTTCACAATATCAGACCCTTAACCTGTTTGAGAACAAAACTGGTTCAGCTAGATGGAACCTGTGGAAGGGCAGATGGACAGTTCCTAAAATTCTACAGCTACTACAATCAACTTACCAAACCTAAATATACATTTAACAACAAACAAAGTCACAGGGTAGGGGTGTAGCAACTTACATTTATCTTTGTATTGAAAAGAATGTGCCTGTATGCTTGTGCTTTACATAAAATAGCATTAATCAAGATGATAACAGGATCATACTCAATGTATTTGTCCACAGGTTTCTGGCAGGATTTCTGATAACAAAAATTAGAAGAGAAAGGAAAAGAAAGCAAATGTTTATTAAATGTTCCTCTACACTTAGAACAATGGCATAAATCCAAAGTATCTATATTCAATTCTTATTAGTCTTTCCTTAATGTAATCTTCATTTTCAATAGGTTTTAAATCCAGAAAAATTGCTTCCCCCCTGGAGACTACAGTTACATTACAGAACATAAAGATACATTATCAATTTTTATAGACTGCAGATTAACACAGACAATAAACTATGCAAGGATGTACTCAGTTATCATTTTGTGTTCTACAGATGCAAAAACCCAAACTGCCTTCCCAACACTGAAGAAATGTACCAGTATCTCGTTAAAGGTTATCTGATCATGGCCTGTCTACTGGGTATTTTGTGATTTTTTTTTTTAATTTATTTTTGGAAAGAAGATGACTTATCACTTCCTTCTTTCAAAAGAGATGTTTTATCCTCCTATCCTACCTTTTTCCTCCATTCAAGAAGAAAAAAAAAAGATTTTTTTCCTGTTGCATTGCTCTTCCACCCTAGTAAGTAGTCCAGATGTTTCAATTAGTTTTCCATTATTGAACAAACACCGATACATTTAGAATACTGAGAATGTAGTTTTCACATACAGATACAGCCAAAGAGTTGGAAGCTGCTACTGAACGGTGGTAAGGTGCTAGACCATTACAATAAAAATACCAATCACTAGACCAACACATCTGCTGGTTCCTCACTGTGTCTACTGGAGAGATTATTTCACCCAGACCACTGGGAACTGCTTGTCACCAACCCCCTTCAGATCTATTGACTCAATCTGCATTGGGCTGTCCGCTCCTTGACTCGAGTTAAATGCGGAAGGCTAACAAAAGGCTGTTACAGTAACTGCAAACAGGACGGTTAAATTGCAGTCTCGCAAAAGGCTCGGATCCAGCAGACCTGAGGGGGAAAGAAGCTCTAGCAGAGAGTGGAGGAGCAGCAGGAGCTGATTGCCCCAGCCCCTTCAGCTGCAAGGCTTCTGCACTTGCAGAAGGGTGCTCGCCCGCCAGCAGGTCGGCTTTCTCCTGCGGCCCATCCTCCAGTTTGGCTGCTCATTCCCTCCAACCTGTCCCCTAGCTAATCCCACTCCCCCGCGCCTTCGTATTCGCTGCCATGCTCAGAGTGCAACACTCATAGAAACGACCTCGATTTCCATTTTAATGAGCGCACGTCTGTGCGCTGCCAGAAGAGAAATCTGTGTGCACAGCTTTCTGCAATGCTGTAACAGCCAAACGCGCAGCGGTAGACAATGCACACCTACAGACAAACCCCCAGGAAAGAACAAAAAAAGGTTTTTTCAATTTTATAGGGATTCCTTGTGTCCAAAGTGAACTTTGCCATGCTCTCTACCAGATTTATTATTGGAGAATTTGAGAAGCAAAATTTCACTAGCCAACTGACTTGGAAGTCTGATCTCCCCCTCAAGAAAAACATCCAAACAAATGCGTAAGTCAAATAGAGATCTGAGGAATGCTCCTACCGCTAATCAGTGTTTCTTGGTCCAGCTCAAGAAAAAACACACCAACAAACCAATTTGCGTTAGAAAAGAAAATACTTTGTGTGACAGTACACAAGTTAGAGGTAATGAATTCAAAAATCGACTCAATTAACCTACAGTTTAATAGGTCTAAAATTAAAGTTAGAGAGATGGAAGAAAGGACATAATTAACAGAAGACCGCAGCTAGAGCATTTAATAGAGTGAAAAAGAAATTGCAGCTATAATTAAGGGCACTGTCTTGCTTCATTTCTCTCTACAGGGAAATCATGAACAGATTTTCTTATAGGTGGCGATTTACGTATGTCAAATCTCTGGGTTGATGTAGCACAGGAAAACAATTTTTTTTTTTCTAGGCTTAAGTCACACAAGCACAAACAAAAGAAGATTATTCTTGAACACAGAAGGTATCATACAGGTTAGATGAAGGCTATCCTACATACCCCAGAATTTATTATGCTCTCAAATTTTCCTACAACAGAACATTTTTTTGACTGGGGTAAAATAATCTGAGAAGAGTAAAGAATGATCTTTTCAGGTGGAGGGTCCCAACCAAACACCAATCAAAAAACTTGCAGTTAAGAGGTACTGAAAAATTTTCACTGACAGCTGACATGAATTTTAGAGAATTAAAATATACCAGACCAACCCTCCAGGCAAAACCAAAGATACAGAAATTCTACTGCAAATATGTAAGGAGAATGCTACAAATGAATACACAAATAGCAGTGTTAACCATAAGAATGGGTCTTCTACTCCACAGATTCTGCCAGCCACAACCAAAACTTCTGCAACTGTGAGAATGATGTTTAAATCAGGATTTCAGCATACCACCACCAAACATTTAAAAATCCTATTTCTCTTGTGTTACTTCAACAGGAAAAGAAAATCTACTGTTATCACAAAAGAGCAGGCATCTTCAAGGAGTTTTCACACACACTCATGTCTGCTTCTAAAACTAGATGAGAGCCCTACTCTTAATACACTTTATTTCTACTTCAGTCTCAACTGTATGAAGGAAAAGTCCTTTGTGCTTATCCAGCCAGTGACCTAGCTGGTGTGAGTTGATAGAATCCTTTAGGTTGGAAAAGACCTTTAAGATCATCAAGTCCAACCGTTAACCTAACCCTGCCATCCCACCACTAAACCACGTCCCTAAGCACCTCATCTGCCTGTCTTTTAAATACCTCCAGGGATGGGGACTCAACCACTTCCCTGGGCAGCCCGTTCCAATGCTTGACAGCCCTTTCGGTGAAGAAATTTTTCCTAATGTCCAACCTAAACCTGCCCTGGCGCAACTTGAGGCCATTTCCCTTTGTCCTATTGCCCATTACCTGGGAGAAGAGACCAACACCCACCTGGCTACACCCTCCTGTCAGGCAGTTGTAGAGGGCGATAAGGTCTCCCCTCAGACATCTGACACTAACCTTAAATGCCTAGGAAGGAAACTTGTGACTGGAGCCTGACTTCAGCAAAATCAATGCAGGCAAGGGTTAATGCAGTTTAAGTACACATAGGTTTAACTAGATAGCTTTATCTAGTTAATGTGATGCAACTTTACAGACATCAATAATCAGAGAAGATGAGTACGAACAGCTCAGCTATGCTCGGTCCCCATGGCAGTTCTGCACAGCTGGAGTCAATGGCCTGTTCAGCGCGACTGAAGGCAGCACATCTTTAACAAAATCAAGCTTTTTCAATCTTTTTGGGGCTTTCTCAAATAAATGCCTCAGTTATCATAACCAGTTCTAAAACAGACAGAAGTAACCAGATTTCTCTATGTTTTTAATGGAGTTTTAATTGCTTCCTTAAATATATAACATCAGAATCAGGAAATAACTAAATAACTGGTGTCTTTCCTTGAAAAAATAGTCATTACTTTGACAAAAAGGTACTTTCAGACTATGCTGCAGAAGATAAAGGTCAAGCTGGACACCATAAATTCTATTTATGCATCTTCTAAACTGGTATATTTAAGGAAAATTACAAACGTTTGACGCTGACACACAGAAGTCCAATAGATACTGTAAAAAAATCCTAAAAAATACCCTAAAAAAGGGTGTTAAATGTATTTCAATATTCTAATCAATTTAAATGGATATTAGTTTAGGAATTGTTTGACTAGTAAATATTTAAGAGTATTTGACAATGTTTGTCTGCTGTTTCCAAAAAAAAAAAGCTTCCATTTTCATAACTTAGAAATTTGCTTAGTTATCTTAAAATTATTTAAAAAAAAATGAGCAAAGGCAGCTTTAAGAAAAAAAGAAATCTTCAAAAGCTAGTACAACCATGTTCTTCATAGTGTTGTATATCAGATTCTTTTTGATCAAAGCAATCCAAAAGAGTTAAGGAAAGTAATGTATGTTTTAACATCTGAGCTGTATTAAGAGAAAAGTACTGAAATGTTAACTCTGGCTGCATGTTTATCAGCCTTTTACAAAACATCACTCAAAAGACATACCTCCTCTTTGTTCATCAAAGATACTCAACTCCGAACACAGTTCACAAACATATGCCAAATACAATATAGCGTACAAATATGTGAGGAAGTAACCTACTATCACTGAAGGGCAAAGTTCCTAAAATATACGAACATGTCTGTTTTAGAGTGGTCTCTGCAAAATGAAAACGTAACTGAATTTTTAAGTAGAAGTATTTTGGGACGGGGGTGGTGGAAGGGAAAAATGTTCTTGAAGAGGAAGCCATGGGACGCTACAGAAAATAAAAACATACATTGAATAACCAGGCTTCATCCTGAAATAAAAATAACACGAAAATGACACCAGGAATATGTTTGCAAATCGCTGGATATTAGAAACACCAGTGAAGCAGTCTCATTTTAGTATTCCTTTCTCCATGGACTAGAGTTTGGTAAAATTAAGCTACAATTTTTTGCTGGACTACATATACAGCAATTTTAACAACGTTTACATAGCTTCAACATGAACATCGGTGCATTTACATAGGTTCATAGGACAAACTAACACAGACCCATCATCCTGCAAGAATGCCCTCAATCCCAGTTGCACCCTTAAATAATAAAATGTAATTAGCTGTGCTGCTTCCAGGAATGGGTTCTTTATTAGGGGTGTGGCTAAGTGTCATAATAAGCTGAAAAACAAAACAGCCTGGTTTCAGATGCACTGCATTTCAGAAAACAAATTAAAAACATTGGTTTTTAATTTTTCCTATATGACACGTTTTCCAGTCGTAAATTGGTCTGTAGATTGAGTTATATAAATAAGAAAAATAACATACTTTATTTTCCAGGATGATCTTTGCACTCTTGACAGATTCTTTACCTTACCACATAAATGCTTTGCATTCAAAGCATTTACAGTCTGTCTGCCTTGCTGCAATAAAAGAGCTTTTCAATTATTTTTTAATTGCAGAAAAGCTAAATGAAGTGTGGCCTGCTCAGGCAATTTGGCTTTCTTATTACAAAACACAAGGGGGATCCTGACTGAGCTCTACATATTGCAATGAATAATTTCTTTCCCTTTGTTAGGGTCTGGAACAATTAACATTTTTGAAACCTTATTTTTAAACACAACAACATATATGCAATTTAAAACCAAATTTTAAAATATTGCAATTTTTTCTTCTATTTTTGAGTAAGTCAAGTTTGCTAATTTCCTTTTATATTCATTGCACTTTGACTGCAGAATTTATTCCAGGTTAGCTGAATCTGGTCCCCATAGCATCAATACTGTGGTAGAAATGTTATCTGAACAGTATTTCTTGTTAATGGTTGGTTCGTAATGTATTCAGTGAAGGTTCGCTGTTATTACTTACAAATCATTTAAGTTTTAAAGATCTCAAAATAATTAAGAAAAATGTCCTCTGGAAAGAACCACCTAGGCTTACTTTCACCATCACTTCTGGTTCAGAGTCGGGAAACTGTCAGCGCGTTCACAGCACAGGACTAGAACCAGACCCACGAGTTGCAAAGCAACTGCCAGAAGTCACCTTCATTGGAGGCAATCCTAACACGCCTGTACACCCCCCTCATGCAACGCCCTTACCCCCCCCAGTTTTCACACTGAAAAAAAACATACTGAACAGGTCTCCCTGAAGAAGTGAATTTCCTCAGAATTTTATTACCCATTTTAAAGTACCTTTAAGTTCTCTTTAAGGAGCGGAAGTCCACCTGTCTCTCGTAATGGCATTTCCACAGCAAAATGTAAAGCAGGATGAGAAAAAGGTTCATTCACTAAATGCAAATCTCGAGCAAGAAGGAATGCGCAATACCAGAGGTCTGGGCTAGGCTTCTGCTGAAACTGGCCTTGATTAAACAAAACAGATTAAAAAAAAGTTACAGAACTTGAAGAATTTGTGGCCATTAGCCATCTTGCAGTGCTCTTAACAAAAGACATGACCTTTCCATCCTGAGTGGACTTCATGTTTGATAGAAGAAGGCTTCTTTAGCTTCTTCAGTATCTGTTGCAAATGTATTTCTAGAGTGGATATTAAAGCTTGTGAGGTCTTTAATGCTTGCCCGCATTAAAATTACAATATGGACCTCAAAGAAACTTTTAATTATCTTAAGAAATAACAAATGCTGCAGGAAGTAAACTGAAGCAGCACCATAAATATTAGGCTCAATTTCCAAAATTGTACTCTTAATATTGCGGGCTGGAAACAGATGTTCCCTAATGGAAGCTTCTAGTATTTGCCTCTAGAAAAAAACCCTATTCTTCTCTTCAACAGATTAATAACAGAATACAAAATCATGGTATTTTGCTTAGGCATTCAACTTTAAATCTTCCATCTGAAAATCAGGCCCAGATCAGGTTAAACACATCCTAAAACCAAAAGTAGGACTAGACAGAAGATGCTGTTGGGAGAACTTAGCTTCTTCAACCTCAAGATGATGTTCTGAAAGGTGTTGAATGACAGGAGCACCCCGAGAATGACAAAGACCTTTTAGATGCATGCTGATTAATTTATCAAGGATAACTTTAAACTAGCATGGGGCAAGTCTGTAGGTCAGTATAAACCAGCAATGATCTTGGCAATGTTCTGCTTTTTCCTGATTTTCTGGAGCCAAAATAAGGAAAGAAACCCTTCATGCTACGTATCATATGGAACAAACATTGAGTTGGGTTTTTTATTCTTAATGTGCCAGTATTTTCATCTACTACTTGAAAATCAGAATGAAACACAAATATCCCAAAGCTTTTTAACGAAAAAATTATCTAGACGATGTTCACTGGCCTCACTTTGAGTATCACTGTACGATATTTCTATGTACTTTTCACTTTTTCTCCCTTATGCTACAATGGAGTAGCAGTACTCAATGCTCTAGTTCCACAACGACAGATGAAAACTGTTCTCAGGCTGAGTGGTCACACCTTCTCATCTCTCCCGAGACCTCAAATTTTTCTTAAATACCTTCAGTTTTTCCTAAGTTTTACAAATCCCTGATATAAATGATGTTTCACACTGGTAAGGGGGACCTTCGTGTTTCTAAAGTGGAGAAAACTTCTAAGCTATCATTATTTTCGGGTTAAGATGGTTGATTAACACTGACAAACTCATTATAACACTGCTTGTGAAAGTTTGCGAAGGGTATCAGATCACATTTTACACCTGACTACTTTTTGTTGTCAGTAGCGTGATGCTGACCAACTTTTTCAGGTCTCTGGCCGGAGCACAGCATTGCTTGCAGAGTTGAATGCCTGCAGAGGGTTAGAGCAGTGACAAAACTATTCCTCCAGATTAAACGGAAAAAGTGAAACGAGAATTGCCCTCTGAGAAACCACGAGCTCTCGGCAGCTGGAACACGACAGCAGTGCTTTCCTGCAATATGCAGATAAAGCTGAATTCAGCTCACTTCAACTGAAGGAATCTTTTGATCTTGGCAATCTTCCAAGATTCTCAACTCCACTTCATAAACCGTGAGCTAACGTGTTTCTTACACGTGCTTTGTATTGCCTGTTCCTCACGTGGACCGCTCCTACGCTCAGCACTTCCTGGGTGGCCTGGGAGAAAAAGGGTTAGATGATATGACACGGCACCACATAAGAACAACTAGGACTAAGACTAAAACTGAACCATGATAACCCACAACGCAGAGGAAACAGACTGGTAGGAGTAAGTGAAAAATGGTACCGATCTGGACCTGCATGAAGAAAGGTGGACGGAATTCCAAGTTCCTAGGAAAATGTGATTCTTTACTCTTTCTTTTACTTTGTTCTTTACTCTCTTTTCTCAGAGTTTGGCGTTTGTGATGAACACAGCAACTGGGACTTAAGTCTTTGATTCTATAGGGGATGCCACAGCTCTGAAAGACCAGGATCTTCAGTCCTCAAATGGTTAAATGTCAAGAGGAACGGGTGCCATCTACTGGCTCCCATTTTCCCTTAAAAGATTATCATAGCCAAATTAATAACCATAATTGATGACCTGGGTTTACAAGATGTGCTAAATCTTATGTGATATGGCTGCAGGCATAAGCTTTACACTCGTCCTTCTGTATCCAACCTGTCCTTCATTTCAAAGACGAGTTTGAAGCTCCACATGAAAAAGCTCCAAACCAACCCATTTACATATTTATCATGTACCAATGGCAAATTTTGACTATGTGATTTGACTACCAATGGTTTGATGTAGTTCATATCCCCCGCTAAACATGACACATTATACTAACACGAAAAAGCAACGAAAAAAATCAGATTTTCCTTGCAGTGTGCATGTCTAAAGATGGTAGAAATCAATCTCTATTACTTTGTTTGTGTTTTACCTAAGAAACTGCTGATCTCTCCAGTTTCTGAGACGTCTGCAGATTTATGTGTACATTTTCAGCTGGTTCATGCTCTACAGCAACAAGCCATTTAAACTGACTGCTGGGCTGGGAAAAGAGAAGGATGTGAATCAGCTCTTTCTACAAACATCAGTAATTTGTACATCTCTTGCTTTCACAGCCTCTTGTTGATAACAGAGGCTGAGATCTAACATGTACGTCTTCCAGCTTGAGCTAACCACTATTTCCCCAAATATAAACTGGCCACAGACCTCTATGGTCTGGTTGTCTACAATCTCTATTTTTAATCTAAGAAATGCTTGAATGACTCAAAGATATAACGCCGTAAAGGAGTTCACCACAGATTTCATACAAAACTTTCGGGTCATGTGTTATGTTTATAGCTTTGTAGTTAGTAAATTAACCCATCTTCTAGCAGCATTCTCAAAATGCCAAAGGCTACAAAACTGGGGGAAACAACCACAAAGGAAGTTTGAATGATACACAACTAATTCCTTACAAAACACAAAATATTCAACAATTTGCTTAAAACCAAGGTTTCCCAATTTTGTAAGGAGCAGACAGGATGTTGTGAAACCCAATCACAGATAAAATCAAAGGCTTAGTCAAGATGTATTTGCAGATGCCTCCACTCCAAAATTCTTATTTTTCTTCCCCCCACGCTAAAATATAGGGTGCTAAGTGATCCGATTTTTTACATACTACAAAAAATGTAAGTCAAAACTAAACGCTGGAGACCAGTCTACATAATCCCTATCAAAATTTGAAAACAGTAACTTAGAAATAATCGAAAACACTGCTTAAAAAGGTAAACGCTTTTTTGCTGGGGCTGCGAAGTCTACACGAAAAGGCGGGGGACGCTAAAGAAAGTTATTTTAACGTTATGAAAACACCGTGGAAAAAAAATAAAGCGAACTCTGTGAGAGACGGCGCGGGAAGGGAGGGCAGCGACCAGCCTAGAATGCGCCGGTAGCGTTTTGGAAGGCACGACGGCTGTAGCGGGCGGAGCAATGCAGAGGCCTCCACGCGTAGGCCGA